TGTATGTTTTCATCAGTCATCCATTTAAGGATCTTTTTTGCATTTCTGGGAAGAACTACTATTAAAGATTCAAAATATCTTTGAGGAAAGTAAGCTATTTCATTATCAAAGGCCTGAGACTTTACTCAGTACTTTGACCAATGGTTCCATAGTCATTAAGGAACACTTGCAAGCTTGGCTTCTTCAAAGAAATGACTTTTCTTTGAAGTAATCTGCAACCAAAAGATGTAGGACTGCCATTATGCCACACAATAGCAAGGACCAGAGCAGCTAAAACAGCATTCAGGCCCCAAACAGATTTTCTCTAGATCCTGCTACCTGTGGGTGGTTCTCTCTCACAGATTCACAGAAGTTTAGGGCTGGAAGAGACCTCATAAGATCATCAGGTCCAGCCCCCCTGCTCTAGATAGGAAAGACTGCTGGGGTCAAGTAACCTCAGTAAGGTGTGCTTCCACCATCTGTATTTCATAAGGGTCCAACGTAATCTTATTCCAAAATACGCCATATGCCATGGTGTCAAAGATTTCCCCAAATACAAAACAGTGGATTAATTTCTCTGTTATCCCCTTCCTCTTTGGTCACAGTACTAGAAGAGAATTTCTAGGCTGCTGGTATTGAGAGCTGGCAAAGGTAGAACTTACTGCTACTTATTTTTGTTCTTGCCTCTGGCATTCTGCACAAAGATGAATATGTAGGCTATAAGAAGGCGCAAGGCCTGTATGACTCAGAGCCTTGGCCCCTTTCCTGCTGTCTGCTCTGAGGCGCATGTGTCAAGCAAAATGCCTGACAGCAAATCACAGAATGGTGTCCTTAAATTTACTACCCTGAATTCCAACCAAATTAGGAGGGACCAAGACCAGTTACCATTCAATTCAGTAACATGTATAAACTAAGTTCCAATTCAGCTCCAAGTACAAGGGTGGTCACAACGCATAAACTACCCCAAAATGAGGCACTAAATTACACCTTTCATTGTATAAAAAAAAATTAAGACTGGATGCATTTTGGTGACTGCATGACTAACTTCTCTTGTGGGAGTTCCTTCAGGTCAGAGCTGACGCACATTAGGTTTTCAGATATAGATACGCTAGTAAAGACACTATCTAAACTCCTCTGTAAAATTAAGACAAGATTTTGATTACAAGCAGAAAAGGTGTTTAAGGAAAATTTAAAGACTGAAAACTTTTTTTGTTTTTAGAGATTATAAAGAGAGTGCAGGCACTAACAAGTCTATGTAAATTCTCTTATCTGTAAAATTCATGCCAGACGTTACATAAATGCAATTTGCACCATAGGCAAAGGTAAAGTACACATCAGATTATCAGTTCATTAGAGTATTGTAGGTGTCTCATATTTGCTCTGCATGGTAGGAGGCATATTATTCTGCTTAGTATTGAGATACTGCAAGCCTGTGAGAAGTAACCACATATATGTGGTCAATGGGAAGAAGGCTAATCCTACACTACATGCAAAGGACCCAAGCCATACAACTTTGTATTATTAGACATTACAAATGCATCTTTTTGGGGAGTTGTGGGTGCCTCTTCCAAATGAAGAATGCTTAATATCACCACATCACATGGACCTTGGGATAATTTTGTAATCTTTGCAATTGCAGAACATACAGAATCAAAAGGTTCAGGAAAAGGAACCAGGAAAAAATGAGCTGACAGTTATCAGGCTCATTCACAGTGGCTTTTGTTCTTAGCTGTGTAGCAAGAAATCCAAAGGCTGGTAGAGTACCTCTTCCCTTCCTTCCCATCCACCTACTCTTTCCCCCATCAAGCTATGGACCTAGGAAACTATAGGCCAGTTAGTCTTACCTCGATCCTAGGCAAGCTGTTCGAGAAAATTATTCTGGCACACATCCACGAGGGGCCAGCAGGGGACTGCATGCTTAGGGGCAACCAACACGGGTTCATCAGCGGCAGGTCCTGTCAGACCAACCTGGTGGCCTTTTACGATCAGATCACCAGATCATTAGATGCAGGGGTACCAGCGGACATAGTCTTCCTGGACTTCCGGAAGGCTTTCGACACTGTCTCTCACCCCGTTCTCATTAAGAAACTGAGGGGCTGTGGTGTCGACACCCACAGAGTCAAATGGGTCGCCAGCTGGCTGGAGAGCCGCACCCAGAGGGTGGTAGTGGATGGGTCCTTCTCAACCTGGAAGGACATGGGCAGTGGGGTTTCGCAGGGCTCGGTCCTCCAGCCCACACTGTTCAACATCTTCATCAATGATTTGGACAAGGGGGTAAAAAGCACCC